GATTACCACTAGGTGAGTTAATGGCTAAACGCTAATACCTACAAAAAAGGCGTCGCGTTAGGATTAGAAAATTAAATATGGCAATACAAAATATTCTCACAATTAAAATACGAAGCCAAATATAATACACACATACAAACAAATAATTTCAATATTAAATAAGAGAGACTTTTGACACGTTTCGACGGATATTAGGCAATAATGTCCGTCGACGGGGGCGGCGCCGTGGGCGAGCACTAGTGTTGCACATTACGCACACACTATACCTGACAACTATATTTTGATTACTGACATTTGACATAATGACATAGATTTACTGATATTTGACAATGACTTATATAAAATGACAATTGTTTATTGAAAAAAAGATTTATTATTTAGCTAAAGTTGTTATTGCAATATGTTTAGTTTCTTGGAAATTCGGAGTGAAATTATTCAATGTAAAAGATACTTGAGACGGTTTTTAGTTAAAATAAGATTGCGAGGGCCGTCTAGAATAACAAAAGCCACATGAAGTTTTGAAAATAATAAAACTTCAATTATAATCCAGAGTCTAACTCAAAATAAGCAAACAATCGTGAGTAACCAACGATTTTTAGTTCATTTAGTATGTCTCACGGTAGTTATTACTTATTATAAAAACAAAACAATTTGGTTAGGTTTTGTTTCCTTATTGCATCAGAAGCCACAGAATTAGAGATACAATAATAAAACTAACCATAAAAAAAGACCAATTAGCACTTACTTACTACTCGACTTAAAAATAAACAGAAAACCCATAAAATGCAGATTACACATCTACATTTCCACTGCATACAAAAATGTCCACTAAAAAGAGTTTAAATCAAATTACATTGGACATAAAACTAAAAAGATTACAATCAACATTAATACGGCTGTAAACTTATACAAAATGTTTATTTGTTCATAAATATATTAAATGCAACAGTTAATGTGAGACCACTAAATTATGTTACCTTTTGTTACAAGTGTTACAGAATGTAGTGTATAATGTTGCCTGTTTCAAGAGTACAGAAATATGCATCTTCTATGTCAAAGTCAACGACTTTTATTTCAGCTATAGTAAGACTATACATAATAATTAACTTATTTATCAAAGTCAAGTCATTGACAAAGCATTTAGTTGCTTCAACCAGTACTTTTGAAACGACAAAAAATATAATAAAACATCAGTCTGTCCGTCAGTGTAGCTAGCTCCTCGTTTTGCTCTTAAAGTTACCATATAGGTCTCCTTTTGGCATACTTCCCTATCAAACATTCCCACACAAAACATATTCCTTCCTTTTTTCATATACCGCATACAATCTATTCATCTTCTCTTGTTCATCCTCTTCCTTTCCATCCATCCATATTTAGATTCTGGACTTGTGTTGATACATAATATTCACCCCTTCTCATTATATGCCTTTTAGTTTCTAACTTTAACTAACTATGACTCATCTCTGATTAAGACTTACTTATAACATTGACTGACTAAAAAGTATTCTTACTGTTTTCTAATTCGAACTTCTCAGAAGTAGTTAAGAGTTTGGGTTCGTGAATGTTTTACGGTGCTGCCTAATATGTATAGTAAAACAAAACGTAGGTGTTTTGTTTTAGCTTTCGGGGAAGGATACATTCTGTCGAATTCTTCTGATTAAAAATTATTAATGCAGCTTGCCTTTTACGCGATTGTAGTATGTAATTCGCTCATAGTACGCTTGACATCTACCTACCTTTGGTAAAATACGCAATTCTGTCGAGAACTCAAAAAAAATCTAGTATCAATTCATTTTAGAAATAGTAGATTAGTTTAACTATTTGCATTCTATTTAGTTATTTGCCACGCATAACTCACAAACTCCTATATCTTACAAATTCTCACACATAATCTAATATTCACTTGAACCTAAGGCTTTCTCACATGAAAAGACAGTCGGTATCATGACCACAGAGCCTACAAAGCTGTCCAAACAGACAGACAGACAAAATAATTGTCTCCACTAAACATTATGACGCCTACACTTGACGTGACGTTGTTCAAGTAAGGCATAGGCGGTAGCGGGTTGCAATTACCTTTTTGTCTTTAGTGATTTTGGTGAATTGGATACTTGCCAAGTAGTCAGTATCAATACTTTTTTTAAACTGTCAAAAATGACGGTTTTCTATTAATTTTGTTCGTCACGGTTTTTAAGCGTCAAACAGCATACTTATTTCTTAAAAAAATGCTGAATCAGTACTTACTTAAGTTAGTCATAAAATCAATTAACAAAACTGTAACAAAATTATATTTTAATATTTTAATGTATTGAAAAGTCGAAATAATTTATTCTTGATTATGGAAAGTACGCAATTGTATTTATTTGAATAGTTATTGTAAGTTTCGTAGAATTAACTAAGAACAGACATATTGAAAATGAATTTGGAAAATGTTTAAATTGAATACTTACTGTGTAGCGATTAGATCCCTGAATTTATCTTTGATACATCAATCTAAAACCCAGTTTAGAATACTTGTAATTTTTAAAAAATAATATTCTACAACTAAGCTCGAAAATCAATACTTTATAAAAATTATACACAATTAAAATGAGATTTACAATTTTACCCAAAGATACATTATGAACAAACTTTTTCAGTTTTAATAGTTAAAATATAAAATAATAATTAATTCTTAATGAATTTTTCATGAGTAAGATGTATCGCAGACATCAATCAGTTTCTTCACAATCAAATAAAAAGTGCTCATCAGCTGCTCATCAGTTATACAATTAACTAAATAAAAATACTTCGATACGAATACTCCTATTAATTACATACGATCAATTTTGGTGTTCAATTACTTGTGTTTATTTTTCTTTAATAAATAAGTAGAATTTGATCTATTTGACTGGACTTAACATTAACGAATAATTGATTAGTCCCTCTGAGGCGAGTCTTGTAAGATGATCTAACGAGTGAAACACAAATTGAAAAAATAATTAAAAACATCTTTTAAAAAGGGGTAAAGAATATAATAAAAATATCTGAATATAAACAAAAATTTACTAAATAATATTAATTACCTTAAAATATGAAGCCGCCTTTCGTTCATAACTTGGACTCCACCTTAAAATTTAACTGGGCTAAGCGTGGGTTAAGTTGTGTCGTAAGCAGAATCAAGTTTTTAACTTAATGATTTTTTTCTGAGTGGGCACTGGCTACCTAGCAGTTATGGCGAGATGATTTCATTCATATTACTTAGAAAGTAGGTATTAGTCGCAATCTACTTGAATCAAAGGTGCAATGAAGTTTGTGTGAATCATTGTTTTTTATTACTTAATCTGTTAGTAGATGTGTTTGTTTTTAGTTTCAAAATTATCAATGACATTTATTATGTATTACTTAATATAAAGTTCACATTTTTTATGGAATTGGCCATCAAACCAGCTGATAAATCACTTGGTGATAAGAAATTGGCGCTGCTCATGGACACCTAAAACACTAGAGATTTTTTTCAAACGTTGGCCCACATTAGGATTTTTTCCTGTGTCGTGGGTGCGTTTACAAACATACAAGTTCACATACACAATGACACCCAGACCCGGAACAACCATTTGTGGATCACACAAAGTGTTGTTCCGTGCGGGAATCGAACCCGCGACACGTTGCACGGCAGCCGGTTGCCCAGCCAGCGCACCAACCGTGCAGTCAAAAGTGCGTTGTAGATAGAGATTTAAGGGTTTGTGATTGTGATTTTGGGGATGGAATTGGGGATATACCAAGAGATAACGATGTAAAAGTAAGTTACTAGTACTTACAGTAACTTAACTAGGGTTGATGAAAAAGTTCTAAGGTATTCTAACTTAACCCTTTGATAAAATATCCATGGCACCATATTTTATCAGTAGGTCTCTGTTAGGTAGCTCTAAAAAAGTATTTTGTATAACTGTGGTGGATTATGTATATTCAGATTATGTTTTAGTTTATTAGTCCATTAATTTACATATTATTTTTATGTCCGATAATAAAGTATCAACTATTTAAACTGGGCTTGGTTTTATGTCTTGTTTCATATAAATTATTGTCATATTTTACTTATTTTTTTTTATACTGTGGCGTATGAACTTTAGAACACGTGTTTTTATTTTGTTTCAAAAGAGGTTACTAATGCTTTTGACGTATTTTTTTTTGTTTTATATTGCTTTGTGAGCAGTTTTCACAAGCCATCTTTGTGGTGTGGGTGTAGATGACAAAAAATTCAAAAACATTATTGTTTTAAATATTAGGATTTTTTCGCCAGAAAAGTTGAGTCTAAACTTTTTTGTCAATTTTTCTGAAAAAGTAGTTGGTAGCTTATGTATTAAGAATTTCCTAAGCTTTATCAATCAATAATATTAAAGTATAAAATCACAACAACAACCGAAAAGTCGAGGAGTCGATGAAAAAAATATGAAGTTACCGAAAATAAACCGAGTTATTTAGATGTATTATGTTTTACGATGCTGCCGAGACCCGAAACATATTATGTCAATTTTTACAACTATGACCCCAAACGTGGCACAACCTTTTATCTCCAAATATTAATGTGTCATTACTCTTTTTATGGACCATTTAAAAACGCCTTTACGAAAATAAAAAAGGTGTTCAAATGTCAAAATAAACAGTCGAACATTTTTTCGTGTTTATTTTTGACGTTTAAGCAGAAAATGTGTTCGCGTTTTTGTCATATTTGCGAAAAAAAACCACCGCCCTTTCGGTTGGGAGCTTATAAAGTTTTTTTTCTATTTTTTTTTTTTTAGTAATGTCGGTCGAAATGTTTTTCGTTGTTTTAGGGAATCGAGTAGCGGATTGTTGTTTTATGGTGTTGCGAGAATCGGTTTATGTTTCAACATTTCAATATTATGTTTTTATTGGACTTGGAAAAACATTTTCGTCCATAGAAAATAATTTCTTAAAATTAATAATGTACCTTTCTCGTAATTAACAATTGAGCTAATATTTATTTTCTTCTTTTACAGATGCACGTTGGACTGAACCGAGTGTCAAAAATGACCAAATGACGTGAAGTTACAGAGTGGTACTCGTAGTGACTGTGTAGTGACTTAGTGACAAGTAGTGCTAGTGACTCGTAGTGACATGTGGCGGTGATTCCCTCGACTGATTAGTGTAATATGTGCTGTGTTGTTATTAGGAAAATATATCAAAATGTGTGCCAATCTTAGGAATTTAATCGTCGCGTTCTGTGGTGAGTTTCTTTTATATTTTTTAACTATCTTCTAGTTTGATATTCTTATCTGTTTATGAATAACAACTCTAGATTTCGTATTTCTATTTATCAAAAAACTTAGTTCTTTCATAAATACTAACTTAGGAAAACTTAATCTATACAAAGTTATGACCTAAATTATATTTTACCATATTACCATACTGTAATAGGCAGGTTTTTAGGTATTGTTACAAAGAAAGCCATTTATAAAGTAATAGCGATTCAATTGAGACAGATCTCCTTGGTATTATATTATCCTATGTAGTAAAACTACTTATTTATGTAAATAGAGTTATATACATCGCCTCCTATATATTATATCAGTGGTTTATTTGTTGCCTTGTCAGAATAAATTCAGTTAGTTTTACTCAGGAAAGTGACACGATGAGATAGAAAATATTGCTTATGTGACGCCTTTGAACCAATAAGATATGATAGGATGAGGATAGGTAGAATAGTACGCTCGACAAGACAAAATATCTTTACGTAAATACTTTAGTTACTAACATTTGTTTGCGAATTAATTAGCCAAGTGAATGTGATATTAAAATGATGTCCATTTTGCAAAAAGTTTGGTTTTTAGTAGTCTTAACATTAATATTTATTCTGAGAAGAAACACTGAAACAAAATCAGAAGTCTAGTAGTTCCTTAAATACACACTTCAGATTGAACCTAAATGTTTTAACCAAGAAGGACAAGAAGCTTGAAATTAGCACAACTTAACATCACGACTTTGTATCTCCGAAGGGGTAGGCAGATGCACATTACGGCACTTAATGCCACTGTACAATGTAACACCCACTTATTTCACTATTTATGTTATGAGTCCCATGTAATAGGGGTCAGCCTATTGCCACATACTGGGCACAATTTCAAACTCCGTGCTACTACTGAGAACTAAAAAAAACAATGAATACTTCGCCCGATACGGGGATCCAACCCGAGACCCCTTGCCAGGCAGTCGCACTTGCGACCAATCGGCCAGCGACGCAGTCGAAATTAGCAGCAGTTGAAATTAGTATTATTCAATTATACATTAACTCTCATATAAAATGAATCAATACTTACAAAAAAAACCCACCCTACTTACATACGTTAAATAAAAAAAGCCGCATCCATATTGCCAAGCTTTTGAGCATGTGTTAACAAGAATATTCAAATAAAATAAAAAATTACGCACACATAGACAAGGCTTGCAAAGTTAGCACACATACAGTTAGTGTTTGCGTGTATAGGGCCGACCGTAGGGCTGGCACACGAGTAATATATCCGATGTGGATATTTGCGGATTTTTTTAGGTGAAAATAAAAAAGATGGCGTTTGTCTGTATTTTGCTACTATATTGGGTTTGAGTTAGTAGTTGTCAGTCATATTTTTTTCTATCATACAACTATTTAGAATAAAAAGTTAATTGACTTCGTTAAAACAGGAGGCTTGCAATTCGGTAGTATATATATAACATCACGCCTTTTATCCCCGAAGAGGTAGGCAGAGGTGCACATTATGCCACTGTACAATGTAACACCCACTTTTCACTATTTATGTTATGAGTCCCATGTAATAGGGGGTGAGCCTATTGCCATATACCGGGCACAATTCCAGACTCCGTGCTGCTACTGAGATTTTTTTACAAAACCCAGTAATACTTTGCCCGACTCGGGAATCGAACCCGAGACCCCTAGCCCGGCAGTCGCACTTGCGACCACTCGGCCAACGAGGCAGTTCAGGCAGCAATTTGGATGATATATATTTTTCAAGACAGTTTATGCAAACTTTGAAATACTAACTTGTAAAGCTTTATTTAGTATCTTATCCTAATCTCGGGGCGTCCACCAATAACTTTACAATTCATCAAAATAAATCCAGCAGTTCACACACAATTTTAAGTGTGGGAGAGCCATGCTTCGGCACGAATGGGCCGGCTCGACCGGAGTGAGCAGCAGCCGAGCAGAAAACCGACGTGAAGCAACGCTTGCGTTGTGTTTCGTTGTGTGAGTGAGGTAACCGGAGGCTCAATTACCCTCCCTTTCCCCAATCTCCCCAATCCCGGAATCCCCAACAATCCTTAAACTCCTAATCCCCAAAAAGCCGGTAAAGCACTTGTAACGCCTCTGGTGTTCCAGGTGTTCATGGGCGACGGCGATTGCTTACCATCAGGTGATCCGTTTGCTCGTTTACCGGCTTATGGCATAAAAAAACAATAGCATTAAACCACAGTTTCTCACTAAATTAATTACTTGATTAGCTTTAAAATTAGTCTTGAACCAGACCTAACTCAAAATAGCAAACAATATCTCCAGAACCAGTAATAATAGAAATACAATACCAGTATGTAAGTCAAGTCTAATAGAACCTCGCTCCACGCGGACTCATTTCCGAAACAAATCGTAAATCAATATTAACTAGAAGCTAGAGGATATGAAATTAATAGAGACGTGTATACTGTATAGTGTATAGACTCGAAACCAAATTAATAGACATCCCCAATATATGTAGATTTATTACGTCACTAACTAACTTATGCCTGCGGCGTTGTCTCCCTGTTTGTGATATGATATTGGAGCGATTGTTTTATTATAGGTCAGGTAGGATTGTTTAATTTTAGATTGAATTTTCTTATGTGAATGTTCATTGTTGTAAAAATTCTTTTAAAGGCTGTTTGTAGGAAGGCTTATAACACAGTTATAATGATAAATTTTGAAATATTCTGATAAATAAATAAAAAACAAATATGTCATGAGGTTTAGTAAAAAATCTAACGGTGCGTTCAATTTTCATAGGCAAACAGCTCCAGTACACTAGTGCATAATGGACAATCATTCAGTAATAAAAGCAAATCAGTATGATACGGTATTAAACACAAAACAAGTAAAACCACGTTGTTCTTTCTACCATATCTAAAAACAAATACTACAAGGCCTACATTTTCCACTTCCGCGCCAGATATTTACCTAAACCATTATATAAAATATGTTGTGTTTGTTTGTCTGTGTGTTCCGCATCCGTGCTACGAAATGTGTTCTCCAAACACGAGTACTTAATTATAAACAAACACAAACCCGAATTAACTGTAATAATAATATGTCGCGAGCTAAAGTCAATAAAATGTGTTCGTACTAATATATTATATGGATACGAGGAATATATTACTAGGCGTCGAGTTGAGCGCCACGTGTAATTTCATAAATAAATATTAAGGATTAATATCTAGGTATAAAATACTGCCTTGATGGCCGAATGATTCCCGGGTCGGGCAAAGTATTACTGGGTTTTAAAAAAAATCTCAGTAGTAGCATGGAGTCTGGAATTGTGCGCGGTATATGGCAATAGGCTCACCTCCTATTACATGGGACTCATAACATGAATAGTGAAAAGTGGGTGTTACATTGTACAGTGGCATAATGTGCACCTCTGCCTGGATAAAAGGCGTGATCTTATGTTACGTATCTATAAAATTTTTCTTTTCACATCACACACATATCAACAGCCAATAAATACTTACTATTGAGCAAAGCCTTTTTTCTCACGTAGAAGGTTTGAGTATTAATCACCACGCTTGCTCTATGAGGGTTGGCGATTTCAAACTTATAATTAGAAATTATTAAGTTTCCTCACCACGTTTTCCTTTACCGTTTGTCAGTGGTGTCTAAATAATCTTAAAGAGTAGGTACATAAATATAACTCGGAAAAAGTCACATTGGTACTTGCTGTTGATAGGTTTCGAACCCGCACCCTAATGCACGAGAAGCGGGCGGGCATATTAAACCAAAAAAAAAAATGTTTAAGGACAAACAAAATCACACTTTTGAAGAAATGAAATCTGTGTTGACTGCGGCAAAAATAAAAATGAAAAACTTATACCACAGCTCTGCTAAACTGGCGTCCAAGCGAATACAATATCCGCAAAAGAATTCAAATATCCGAACGCACAACCCTAGCGTACAGAGTTAGCCAGCCATTATTTATTGGACTTACTGGCCACCAATTAAACTTTAATTAAAATACTACACAACTACACATCGAGCTAAACAAACCAGTTTTACGTGGTCTCGCATTGTAAAATCTTTTTGTACATTCAACGGTCAGCTTATACTGGCTCTGTACAGTTTGATGTTGTGTGTACCTCGGCTTTGTAATTTGTATTGTTCTGTTTTAGTTTTTATTTGAATGTGATTTTTTTTTATTACTTTATTCTAAGGGTTGTAAGTGACATATTGTTTTTGACATTTAACTTTAAATTTCGAGTGGTTTTGTGTCAAGTGGGTTGTTTTTTGTTAGTTTGGACTTTTGTACCTAATTCCAGCTGTTAACAGGGTTGCCCAGTCAGTTACCGGTAAAAAAACATGAGGCCTTATATTCTGCGGAAGGGTAGGCAGAGAATAGAGGTACCTACATTGCTATAAATCACTTTTATCAGCTTTTTTATAGTTTATAGTTAGGATGGCGAATAAAGCCCATTACAATATTACGCGGAATTATCAGAGCTATTTGTGAAAATTTTAGTCACACCATTTCAAGTAGGTAGTTAAAATTGAAAAGCGTTCATCAAGTCTAATTTAATTTACATCCACCATCTTTCTATGTATTAAGTACCTATTAGTAAGCTATGAATTAACAAAAGCAACCATGGTCAAAATATATCCTATCATTTTACCTAATAGAACTATAGCAAAACCTGATAAGTTTTATAGTATAAAGGGGGCGTGTAACCATACATTATATATGTATATCTATTGTAATATAATACCCGTGTCTGTCCGTCCGTCAACTGATTCAATCGATGACACATTGGCACCACGTGTGCTGATGACAAAACACGGTTAAAATGTCTTTGGTTATTGAATTTTCAACCTTAATATACCTACAACTATTAAGTTGAAAGTTTATTAAAAGATGGATTGAAGATTGAAGTAAGATTGCCAAACAATGAGCTTTAGTTTCGTTACCAATTTTGTGTCAAAATTTATTGTGAGTTTCC